AAGTAAAGTATCATGTCATCTGCAAATAAAGATAATTTAACTTCTTCTTTGCCTATTCTTATTCCTTTTATTTCTTTTGTCTAATGCCTGTAGCTAATGATTCCAGAACTATATTGAATAGGAGTGGTGATAGAGGACATACTTGTCTTGTACCCAATCTAAGAGTAAAAGATTTCAGTTTTTCCCCATTTAGGATTACGTTAGCCTTTGGGTTTTCATAAATGGCTTTTACCACATTGAAGGAGAGGCCAAGTGTTCTAATTTTCAGTAGGACTTTGAACATAAATGTGTGTTGGACTTTATCAAAAGCCTTTTCTGCATCAATGGAGATGATCTTGTTGTGTTTAGTTATCGCTGTATTGATATAGTGTATTACATTTTAGATTTTTGAATATTGAACCATCCTTGCATCCCTGCCATGAATTCTACCTGGTCATGGTGTATGATCTTCTTGATGATTTGCTGTATTGTATTTAATAGGATTTTATGGAGGATTTTGGCATCTATATTCATGAGGGTGATCGGCCTGTAGTTCTCTTTCTTAGTTGCATCTTTTCCTGGTTTTGGTATCAGTATAATACTTGCCTCCAGGAATGATTTTGGGAGGATTTCTCCCTTTTTAATTTTGTGGAAGAGTTTGAGGATTATAGGGACTACATCTTCTGTAAATGTCTTGTAGAATTCAGGTGTGAATCTATCCAGACCTGGACTTTTCTTTGCTGGTATGTGTTTAATTACATCTCGTATTTCCTTGACTGTTATTGGGCTATTGAGAGTGATTACATCTTGTCTATTCAGTTGTGGTAATTTGTATATTTCTATGTATCTGTCCATTTCTTCTGTGTCTTCCTTTCTATGAGAGTAAAGATTTTCAGAGAAGCTATTGATAATCTTCTGTATTTCCACTGAGTCTGTGGTAATTACACCCTTTTCATTCAAAGAACCAGCTTTTTGCTTTTTTAATTCTTTGAATTGTTTCCTTCATTTAAATTGAATTAATTTCTGCTCTAATCTTTATGATTTCCTCTTGTCTTTTGGCTCTGGGTTTTGTTTGCTCTTCTTTTCTAGTTGTTGAAGGTGCAGCATTAGGTTAGTTATTTTTCCCCGTTTTGTTTTCCTAATGTGTGAGTTCACAGCTGTGAATTTCCCACTGAGAGCTGCTTTCATCGTATCCCATAAATTA